TGGACTCCGAATCACTCGCAACCGTTTTAAGTCCGTCTCCCGGCAGAATGCTCGTCGACTCTTTCTACTTGAGGATCCAGACTTTTTCGGCAGGACTTGCTCTGCTCGACGGAGATCTCCTCTCCATCGGCCCCGACCTCAAAACTCAACTCGGTGCGACAGATCACTCGTCGACGAGTATGCAGGCTCTTGTCTTTGTCGCTGCTGTCTCCGCCACCCAAGACTCGATATTTGCTGATGTCCTATGTCCTGTGCGAGGAGGCTTCTCCAACCATCCGAACTCTTGTGGGTGACCTAGCGCCCTGCCGGCTCGCCTCGAGATTGAGAACGAAGGTGTCACGAATGGGAGTTTCGCCACTCCAAGTTCGGCCTCTCAGCACCCACGTCATCCGCGTGACTTGGGCCTTCCCGCGCTTCGGACCTCCTCTCCCCGCTTCGGCACCTGCACTGCCTTCTTCTCCTCCAACTATACGCTCACAACCCTCTCGCCCCCGACTCTTACGTGAACATCAACCAAGCTCTATTACGTGATCCTTGGCCTCAACACTATTACGTGATCCTCGTGCCTCGCCTCCTCAAGCTCGCCACCTCGTCCCCGACTCCTCTGGTCTAGTTTCCCAGTTCCGTAGCTCACTTCTCTCTTTCCCTTCTGCAACTCGAATCTCGTCAAAGGTCACATCCTTGCACTCGTCCCTCGTCCTCGCCTCTTGTGAGAAGTCCCTAGAACACCTCTCAACTCGTCACTCGCCCTTGCCCTCGTCTCGAGCCCCTTCGTCCGGCTCACCTCTCCTATCTTCGTCCTTCGTGATATGGACGCGCTGGAACTCGCATACGGCATCAAACGTCTCGGACCTGCCGAATATATTCTAGGCGTCCAAGTCAAACGTGGACAAGACGGCTCTATCACGCTCTCACAAGAGCGCTACCTTCGGGACATCCTTGCCAGGTTCCAATTCACCGATGCCAAGCCGGCAAGTATTCCAATGCAGCCAGGTGTCGTCCTTGACTTCGAGGACTTGGCGGCCACTCCTCAGGATCGTACGCGCTACTTGCAGGCCATCGGTTCGTTGATGTACGCCGCAGTTGGAACTCGTCCGGACCTCGCCTTCGTGGTCAGCTACCTCGCTCGCTTCTCCCAGCAGCCTGGCCCGGAGCATTGGACAGCCATCAAGCAGGTCCTCCGTTACATCAAAGGCACACTGGACTTGGGCCTCACCTATCGCAAGACCAGCCAACCAATCCGTGGCTACTCGGATGCGAACTGGGGAGCCTGTCTAACGACCTCACGATCGACCATGGGCTACGCGTTCATCTTGTCCGGAGCCGCTATTGCTTGGTGCTCCAAACGCGAGCACAGGGTGGCCAAGTCCACTACCGACGCAGAGTACCTCTCTCTTTCGTACACAAGCGGTGATGCCATCCACCTGAGCGAACTCCTGGCTGAACTTGGCGCTCCGGTCTCCGGTCCAGTCGTACTCTACGGGGACAACCAAGGTTCGCTGGCTCTTGCGCAGCACCCGACCAACCATCAGGGGTCTCGTCATGTTCGCATCTCGGAACATTACGTCCGCGAGAGGGTAGCTGAGAAGGAGATCGAGGTCCGCTACATCGCCACCGGCGACATGATTGCCGATATTTTCACCAAAGCCTTGGGTCCCAAGCCGTTCATGTTCCATCGGGAGAATTTGGGTTTGCGAGGTGCAGTGGTATGACAGCACGGGGGGGTGTCAATATATTGCTGTTTCATCCCACTGGTATTCCCGATTATGATTAGTTACTAGTTGTTGATATTAGTCGCCCCGCGCGTCTCGAGCCTGCCTCGCGCGCGCTCCCTTAGCGCTTATCTTCTTTCTCCAACTATCTTTACTATCTTCATCGGCTCTCGTACTTACGCACTTCGTGCCTCGGCCTCAGTTCCTGAAAGTAAACGCAGTTGCAGCGGCGAACTTCTGCACGAAGATCGACCTTCAAGGTGCTTTCCAACAAAGTCGCATCAAGGACGAAGATGTGAAGAAGACCGCGTTCAGCACCCCTAACGGGATCCTGTACTCACTTGTCGCTCAACAAGGCGATCGCAACAGCACGGTTACACTACACCGGCTCGTCTCATTTGCTTTTGCTGGACTCATCAATCGCAAGATCAAACATTACGCCGACGACCTGTGGCCCATCTCTAATACCTGGGCCGAACACAAACGGGATGTCCGCGAGACTCTCGAGCGAGCCGAAGTCCACGGCATCCGCATTCCTATCTCAAAGTTCAAATTCGCTACAGAGATTCGCGACTCTCTGGGCAGGAAGATTCGCCCGGGAGAAAGCTCGATGCAGCCGGAAAAGGCGGCTGGCATCCGAGCTACCCCAGCTCCTAAGAACAAGAAGGATCTTCAACGTTTCCTAGGAGCGGTGGAATATAACCATCGATCAATCCCGCACCTTGCCGAGCTAGCGGCGCCCTTGGATGCACTGACAGGGGTGAACAGCCCCTGGAGATGGTCCCGAGCTTGCAGCGACGCTTTTGAAAGTATCAAGGCTGCATTTGACGACAGTGCCAAACTCACCTGCATTCGCTCAGACGAGCTTGCACCCGATGGTACCTTCCCGGTCCACCTAGACACCCCTCCCGGCCGAAGGAGAAAAGGTGCCAGAGAACGAATCCAAAGGGAAGTACCTCTTCCTCCAATTCGACACCTCAGTTACAGGAGTCGGCTACGTGCTAAGCATCCACGGGCTACCACTCGCGAAAGTTCTCGCCTTCCCAATTCAATTACAACACCCAGAACCAAGAGCTCCAGGGCATGTACGAAGGATTTCAACACTTCGAAACAAAGCTGCGAGGACGTCCATTCATCGTCCTCACGGACAGCCAGACTCTTGCGAAGTTCACAACACTCCCAACGCTGTCTAGAAAACAGACGCGCATGTATCTCTACTTCTCGGAATTTGCATACACGGCTGAGCACACCGCAGGCAAGGCGAACGCCATGCCCGACATGTTATCGCAACCCCCTTGCGATGCACCCACCTACCCTGACCCATGGGCCCCGAAGTATATCGGGCCTTTCACCTGCCTCGGGTTTGACCCAGCCAACTCGACGTACAAGCTTGCCCGAGTCCCGGAACGCTGTACATCTCGCGGGATCCGTAGCACGTTCCACGCATCCCAACTCAAGGTTTTTAAACCTTCAGACGAATCCCGATTCCCAAACCGACTCGTTGACTCAGTCCCGGTCTACCCGATCGACTTACCGATGGCCATCGCATACGTACTCAACCATGAACTCGTCGAGAACGAAGCAGGCGAGCTCGAAGGCACACTCGTCTACTCCGACACCCCTCAGGGACAACGAGCAGGAGCCAAAATCGGACGTGCCTCATTTAACGAACTCCTCGCGACGGGACTACACCTCGGTCCGGCTGTCCCTGAGGAGTACTTGGCCAAGAACAAGGTCACCACCATCTGGGACCTCAAACCTGTTAGACGCCAGATTCCCATCGCCGACCCTGACTATAACTTGACGACTGGCTCTCCATCTTCAGAGGAAACCCATCTCAGAATACACCAAGAGCGAGCGCTGGCATCACGCAATGAACCGCGCGGGGACCGCCCAAACGAGGGGACGCAACTTCATCAGCGACCTCGAGGAAAAGGCCGCCAAGCCAACAGGATTACCTCCGCGATGGAGAAGATCCAACGAAGTCAAGCACTGCTCGTCGACTCGACCGCCCAGCCGATCACGATAACTGGTCGTATGAGATGGAGACCGTGCGGCAGGAGGCCTCCCGCACGCCGACCGGCCGCACCTACGCGACAAGTAGCGAACGCCACTCTGGAGGACCCTCCGCCCCTGAGGGAACAACTTCGCCTACAGGCGCAGCAGGCGAGTCATCAGCGGCAGCAAACCGGCCAAGCCGAGTATCGACGTATTCAAGATCAGCAAGCCTGCGTTGAACGCACTGGCAAAACAAGCCCTCAACAACTGCCGGGATCCCCCCTCCGAGGGGCGGTGACAGTGAGCGCTGCAAGTTTCGCCGCCTTGCACCACACGCCCCAGGGCACCCCTACCCAAAGTCCATATATCACTCCAGGGGATTTGTCGATGCCGCTCATCGCCGGCCCCTCCAACGCCCAGGGCACCGAAGCACTTTTGGGACCAAGCCCGAACCCGCAGACGCTGGCCGGGCAGGGCTCACCGTCGGCATCATCGAATTACAGGCAGGCCCCGACGCCTCCACGGGATTATTGAAACCCCAGGAGTAGAGACGCTCTACTCAGCGGGGGACGATGTAGGCCCGCCCCTCCAATTCACTAATACTCATCAGAGCCGTTAGCCTCCATTTCCTTTTCCTGTCTCTCTCTAGCTTTGCCGTTGAACTCTCCTCTCTTTTCCTCCCCCCATCCATTCATTCTCCCCGAGTTCACACGGATCTACCTTCGATAATTGCTCGACACCGCTTATCGACTTTCTTCACTTCACTTTCCTTTCTCATCAAATACAATTCAAGGACTTGTACCGTCTTTCTCTTGCCGTTCGATAGAGAGGGTACAACCTGGGCTTTCCGCTTTCGACTTCAACACGATCTGGGAAGCCTACAGCTTTTTTGACGGTACAGGTGCTGTAGGCTTCCCAGATCGTGTTGAAGTCGAAAGCGGAAAGCCCAGGGCGCGCGGAGAGCGGGCGGGCGGGCGGCGGCGGGCGGGAGAATTTCGCATTTGGTATTTGGAAATTGCCCACATAAATAGGTCGAAACACACTACTGAAGCTTCGGTGCTCCTGTCTGGTCTATGCAGGCTTGCTTTCGTTATAGCCGGGCCGCCGCATTCCCCCTGAAGCTCGCCCCACTCCTGTCGTCGATCGTATTGGGTTCGGCAGGATGATGTCGATTGGTCTGCGCATGCAGGATCTAGGAGTTTGATCATAACGCGCAGTACGAAGTCTAGTTTTACATTCAGATTCGTCCATTGAAATTGCAAAACAGGAACGCAAATGTCGAGCACGGTTCTACTCGCAAAGTGTCTTGAAAGCCGCCTGGACATGTTCATACGACATCTGACCGGAGTTCCAACGCGACGCAAGTTCTGGCTCAGTCTCGAAGTCTTCCAGGCCCGAAAAAGAAAATTCCAGCGAGCAATTTTGCTGCAGGACACTCAGAACCTTCTCCGCGCCAGACCAACGAGATGCGCATGCGTTCAGGAGCTCCCTGAAGCCGGATCTCGTAGACAGCCCATTTTTCCTGCTTGCTGCATTGTTGAGCTTTTGGGCGTTCCACGCGTTCCAAATATCTGCAGCGTCCGACTTTTCGAAAAGGGTCGCGTCGGAAGGTTCAGATTGAAAAGCCGTGCGGGACGCCACGTAGAAAAAGGACTCTATGTCGTGCCATCGCTCATGCACCACACTCTCGGTTTCGGGTACGAGCAGGAGTCGGGAGATGTAGGGAAGCGTGCCCTGTGGTTGATCATGGTACAGGGGAAGGGTGGAAAGGAGTTGGGTGAGACCAAGAACGTGTCGAGGGCTAGCACGGACGAGAGAACGTACCGAGCGGCTGAGGCGACACTCTTCTTCCGCCGTTCGAGCCTTCTTTACCGCCAGATTGTAATCAATGAGGATTCCATCGCCGTGCCGGTCGACCATGACGTTGCCATAGGACACGTCACGGTGAATGAAGCCGTAGTTCCAAAGCTGGCGATGCCCTGTCACGCAAGGCAAAGGGTCGTCAGTGTTGGCACACCCTTCAGCGCGCTGTCCCGCTCTGCTCTGATCATGAGCACTCACCCTCAATCGCACCCTCGAGAGCGCGCGCGAGCTGCTTGGTGTGTTCGAGCGTGGCGAGTGGGTTGTAGCATTCTTCATGAATGACGACCTCCTTGGCCCGCGCGGTGATACCGTCGAGGGATTCGTCGCCGGGTAGGAACCCGGGGAGGGTCCTGTATTCGGCGCGAAAGACGCCGACCAGCGGAGCGAGCCCTCGAGGTCTCTTGTCTTGGATCACGTTTCGGATCTCGACCAAGTCCGAGTTGCGCGACTCCTCGACCCAAATGATCGTCATGGCGCGGGTCTTGCAGCTGGTGCCCTCGCCAGTGGTGATCTCGTACGTCGACGTCGCGCGACCGCACTCTCTTTGCCGACGGAACAGAAGCTTCTTGATGTTGGCGTTGGACATCGTCGTTGCTCCCCAGCTGAACTCTGAGGCCGCCGGCGGAAAGAAGTCGGGGCAGAGCGTGAAAGGGCCGTAGCGGTCGTCGAGCGAGGTCGTGGTGGCGAGAACGCCGTTGAGCCGATCGCTGTGTTGGACGAGACGGTACAAGAACGTCGAAAGCTCTCCATTCCCTTCGGTGACTGTTCTAGATTTGGTAGAGAACACGCCGCAAGCAGACATCACGTATATCTTGAGACGTTCGCCGCGAAGGGTGAACCCGATCGCATGTTCGCGAATCGGCGTCGCGAGGAGTGCCGACAACCGTCGGAACAACTGGCTCTCGGCGTTAGAGTTGCCGGCTTTGGTCTCGCCGACGGCGGCCACTTGCGTAAAGGAGCGTTTGGCCTGGTTCAGGTCCACCTTGTCCTTGGCCTTGTCCTTGGCCTTGGCCTTGTTCGTGCTGTCTTCTTCTGCGTTGTTGTCCTCGTTGTGATGCTGGCCCTTGCCGTTTTCGTTCGCGTTGAAATTCACGTTGGTGTCGGGGCCCGCATCGGCGTCGGGTTTCTTGGCTTGCGGATCGGCGTGACTGGGAAGGGCCCATACATTCGGGAGGGTTGGATCGTGCGCGACCGCAGCGTGGGTCAACAGCACAACATCGGCCGTCTTCTCGGTCGTCTCCACGCGGTCACGTGCGACGCTGATGTAATAGGGTGAGTTGCTGCAGGCGACCAATCGCCGGTCTCCAGTCTAGAGGTCCAACAGTAAGACAAACGGCAATGGGAAGGCGAGTCAGCTCTCGAAGGAATTATTCACACACCATCGAGTAGGCCAGGCGTCGACTTACCTTGTTGATGACACCTGCTATGACCTCGCCCAGCGCTTCTTCGGTGCCAATCTTGGAGTCCTTGGGCCAGATCTTGTTGGCGAGCTCCTCAGCGGTCGGATGGCCGAAGAAGTAGGCCTCGAGGGCCGGACAGTGTTTCTGGTGCATCTGCACCGCCTTGGAAATCCTCTCGGCTCTGTCCGATGCTCGCTCGTTCGAGGCCGGCTGCCGGCGCGGTCGTAATGGGGTCGAGTTGCTCGACGATACCAAGGGAGGTAGTACGTCCCTCACCTCGGCAAGGTCGTACGCGTTGGGGGTTGCGTTTGACCTTGACCTTGAGCTCGAGGTCGAGGTCGAGGTCGAGGTCGAGGCAAGAGCCTGAGCGGGCGAGTCGGCGCCGTGTGCCACGCGCGTCGCGTTCTTTTCAGCGAGGCGCGCGCTCCTCCGAACTTGCTCAGTCGCGGCGGACGACGCGGCGGCGCTCGGGCGCGCTCGGTCCGGTGTCGAGCTACTAGTAGTGTCCGCGGCGGTCACTGCAACGGCCCCAGTTCGGGCGTGGGCCAGTGGCGTCAGTCATACGAGTCAAAACAAGGCCAAGCTCGGTCCATTATGGGCCGACTCACTGTGGCCAACTCACTGTGAAGGCCCTGGGCGTGATGGGTTACGGGGCAGTGGGGGCCGGTCACTAGTACCGGTGGTAAACCGGTGGTAAGTCTTGAAGACGAGCAGGGAGTGGGAGGAGGGTGAGGGAGAGCAAGATGTGAAGCGATTTTTCCTTCGTTGCGGAATGTCGAGACTCTGGTCGAGACATCAACTACCTGTCATGCAAGAGGATTTCGCAACTCCCAACTTTGGACTCCGCCCGCCTCCTTCCAACTTTGGACTGCGCGCGCCTCCTCCAGAGGCCCATGTGGAAGAACGCTCTTTTCTGCAGTGTTTGTCGGATTTTTACACCCTCTTTTCCAAAGATGTCGGCTTTACACATGCGCCTCGATACATCATCAGAAGTTGCTGTACATGCTCCAAAACTTGCTCAAAAGTCGTCGAAGACGCGTTCCGAGCGTCTGCGGGCGCGCGGCGGCCGATCGAACATAGCAAAAAGAAAACAACCCCTGAAATGGGATGATCCCGGGATCGGGCCACCGATTTGAAATCCCACACCGCGTTTGAAATGCATTTCAAATCTGCGCGATTTCAAATGCATTCCAAATGCAGCCCGGGATTTTAAATGCGATGTATCGGAGGCCCGATCCCGGGATCATCCCCTTTCAGGGTTTTTTTGTTTTTGTTTTTGCTATGAAAGTGGCTTGCCGCCTCTTGCCGCGCGCGTCGCTTCGGCTGGTCTCCAGCCTCCAAAGCTTAAGCCTTCCTTGCAAGTTCGGTGATGGGCTCGTTACTCCCTTGTCAGACTTGCATTTTGCTGGGGTTGGGCGCATTGTATCCGCTACGTCGTTTTTTCGGCTTGTAGAGGCTCTACCGGCGGCATCCCGCGGGCCGGGCACGCTCCGAAGGGCGGTAAATCGTTGCTCGGCATGCAGTGTGCGCTCGTGGTGACAATGCGCTCGCCGGACGTGAGATCCGCGGTTGAACGACACGAAGTCGCCGCGGTTGAACGATACGCAGTCGTTGACGGGCCCAATGATTCAATGACCTGTCGACCATCAATCATGTGGAACGGCACAGTACCATCAAAGAGGTGGGTGAAGTCCCTTCTTGCAGTGCTCGGCGGTCGTACTGCGACCACAGGCGGTCAGTCAGCGCCGAACGGCAGACGCCATCGATCGAAATCCGTTTCGGGCCTCGGCAGACTCGAGGGCAAGTTGTAGACGGCGATAAGTTTATAGCGACTTTGTCACAATTAGAATTGGCGTGTATACGCCTGATTTGTGCTGTCCTGCATCGTGCTTTTAAGATACGCAATCACGCTAGGTGCGTTGTGGCCTCGACGACTTCACTTTGGCGCGCGCGCGACACCGCTCCTTTGCCTCTCCCCACTCACTCGAACCACTCGAACCACTCGCACACGACTCGCACACGACTCGCACACGACTCGTACCACCCGACTCGACACGGCTCTGTTCTCACTCCGCCACAGCTTAACGACACACCGCTATCCTTACATCACCCACTCGGCAAGATGCCGCTCAGCCGCTCAACGGACGCTCGACGTGTGCCTTCGTGCCGGCTGATGCGAGCACGGTGCGACGTCGCACGACACGACTAGCAACGACTCCAACATGATCATCTTTGGCACGATACGACTTAAACCTCCACCTGAGAAGGCGTGATCACTTTCAGCAACGTGCTAGCTTGCGTCGATGCATCGCTCGAGCGTTCTCGGTCGGACACGTGCTCGGTCACCGTACCGCCTCGATCGCCCCGATCGTCGCCCTCTCGCCACTCGACCGATGGGTGTGGTGAGTACTTCACTCAGAAGTATTCAGCTCTCGCCCCATTCGCTCACCTCATGTTTGTCGTTGCTGCTCATCGCTCTAGTTCAGAATGCGCGTTGGCCGACGCGCTGGCATCCGAGCTTCGCACCGAATCGCTCTGTAACTTGGACGACCATACTTTGCGCATCCCTCATCAGCACCATCGAAGAGATGCTCAGCTTTCCTGAGGTCTCGAATTGATGCACATGTTACTCGACCCACATCGCCGCACCCTGAACACCCCTTTCGACCAGTGACGATTTCCTCCGCCACCCCCACATTGTTCACTCGCGTCGTCAACGTCAGCCAATCACACGAATGCAGTCACTCGCCGTCACATCTCTTTCTTGATCGAATCGAAGAGTCTCAGCGACGCGGCAAGCTCGGGAGTTGTCGGAACATCTGTTGCTCGACTCGGCGAATATTTGACCGATGCCCATCCGCACCCATCACCGACCTTCAATCCGATCCACCGGTCGACCGACCGAACCGACAAACCTTTGAAGCTCGGTCTCCCCCTGCCCGTGCCCATCTCATCACCACGACGTGCGAAGTAACAATCTGCTCGCCCCTTGCGACGGCCGCCTCGACCACCTCGACCATCAACCTTCCATCGCACTCGTGCTCGATCGCCATGGATTCACTGTCATCAACTGACCTACTCACCGTGAGCGCCAACCCCACGATCGCCCCATTCTCGACTCATCTGGCAAGTTCACCTATCGCCACGCTTGACCTCAGCTCGTCTTGATCTGTGTCACCGCACCCAGCTCGACACTCCCCCGTGATCTTCGGATCCACACCGGCGCATTAGCTCGATCAACCAGGTCCAACCTCGGCGCTCTTTTCGGCTGGCTCGGCACTCGAGCCACTTCATCGAGCAGCTTCGTCTCGACTCGGACCGTTCGGCACTCCGACGATCGATGATCAGCTGGACCCGTCCATATCCCAGGCAACTTGCTTCGGCCATACTCGATGGACGATCAAGCCCCAACTGACATGTGTCCGCCTCGATGTGCCCACCTTGCCCAAATCGCCACTCCAACTCGTCCGGTCAACTCGAGCTTCAACTCGACGATACTTCTGACATCGACGGCCCTACCTCTCTGACACCGTGTTTGAACGCGACTCGATACGCCAGTCGATACATTTCAATTCGACCGATTCGACTCCGACCGCGTGGCGCTAACCGCTGACATGATCGATATGAAAATTGTGATGGTGCTGTCCGTGGACGGTGTTGGAACATGATGAAGGAGCGCATGGGTACATGGAAGGGACGGTTTCTGATGTAATGCACGTGAACCCCAACATGGATTGTCACATCATCGTGTGAACCCCAATGCACATTGTCGCTATGATCATGTGAAGCCCAACTTACATCATTGCTGACCGTCACCATCTCCGGGTGAGCGCTCGAACGCGTGATTGTGTGGGCGGTTCATTGCTCCGCCAGCCCGAATACCGCTCCGATGATAAGTTCGTCTTTGCCGCGGTCAATCACCGGCTCAACGCATTTGGCTTCTTGAGTTCCAAGGACCTACAAGAAGTTGACAAGGATGGGCTGAGTGGAAACAAATGTATGGTGTGTCATGATGAATCGCATTCGATCATTTTCCGTTTTGGAGATCGCGAGCGCTCTCAGTGGCCGAAGGCAGCGGGGGCCGCCGCCCTCAAATACCAGAGGGCGCTCGGCCAAGCATCATTGCAAGGATCGCGCTCGACAGCGCGCGCAGAGCTGGCGGGCAGCTGGCGGGGGGATTTGGAATTTGGTATTTGAAAAGTGCGCATATAAACAGGTTGAAAAACACTACTGAAGCTTTGGTGCTCCTGTCTGGTCTATGGAGGCTGGCTTTCGTTATAGCCGGGCCGCCGCATTCCCCCTGAAGCTCGCCCCACTCCTGTGGTCGATCGTATCGGGTTCGGCAGGATGATGTCGATTGGTCTGCGCATGCAGGATCTAGGAGTTTGATCATAACGCGCAGTACGAAGTCTAGTATTACAGTCACATTCGTCCATAAAAATTGCAAAGCAGGAACGCAGATGTCGAGCACGGTTCTACTCGCAAAGGGCCTTGAAAGCCGCCTGGACGTGTTCATACGACATCTGACCGGAGTTCCAACGCGACGCAAGTTCTGGCTCTGTATCGATGCGTCTCAGCCTTGCGAAAGACCAATCCAGCGAGCAATTTTGCTGCAGGACACTCAGAACCTTCTCCATGCCAGACCAACGAGATGCGCATGCGTCCAGGAGCTCCCTGAAGCCGGATCTCGTAGACAGCCCATTTTTCCTGCTTGCTGCATTGTTGAGCTTTTGGGCGTTCCACGCGTTCCAAATATCTGCAGCGTCCGACTTTTCGAAAAGGGTCGCGTCGGAAGGTTCAGATTGAAAAGCCGTGCGGGACGCCACGTAGAAAAAGGACTCTATGTCGTGCCATCGCTCATGCACCACACTCTCGGTTTCGGGTACGAGCAGGAGTCGGGAGATGTAGGGAAGCGTGCCCTGTGGTTGATCATGGTACAGGGGAAGGGTGGAAAGGAGTTGGGTGAGACCAAGAACGTGTCGAGGGCTAGCACGGACGAGAGAACGTACCGAGCGGCTGAGGCGACACTCTTCTTCCGCCGTTCGAGCCTTCTTTACCGCCAGATTGTAATCAATGAGGATTCCATCGCCGTGCCGGTCGACCATGACGTTGCCATAGGACACGTCACGGTGAATGAAGCCGTAGTTCCAAAGCTGGCGATGCCCTGTCACGCAAGGCAAAGGGTCGTCAGTGTTGGCACACCCTTCAGCGCGCTGTCCCGCTCTGCTCTGATCATGAGCACTCACCCTCAATCGCACCCTCGAGAGCGCGCGCGAGCTGCTTGGTGTGTTCGAGCGTGGCGAGTGGGTTGTAGCATTCTTCATGAATGACGACCTCCTTGGCCCGCGCGGTGATACCGTCGAGGGATTCGTCGCCGGGTAGGAACCCGGGGAGGGTCCTGTATTCGGCGCGAAAGACGCCGACCAGCGGAGCGAGCCCTCGAGGTCTCTTGTCTTGGATCACGTTGCGGATCTCGACCAAGTCCGAGTTGCGCGACTCCTCGACCCAAATGATCGTCATGGCGCGGGTCTTGCAGCTGGTGCCCTCGCCAGTGGTGATCTCGTACGTCGACGTCGCGCGACCGCACTCTCTTTGCCGACGGAACAGAAGCTTCTTGATGTTGGCGTTGGACATCGTCGTTGCTCCCCAGCTGAACTCTGAGGCCGCCGGCGGAAAGAAGTCGGGGCAGAGCGTGAAAGGGCCGTAGCGGTCGTCGAGCGAGGTCGTGGTGGCGAGAACGCCGTTGAGCCGATCGCTGTGTTGGACGAGACGGTACAAGAACGTCGAAAGCTCTCCATTCCCTTCGGTGACTGTTCTAGATTTGGTAGAGAACACGCCGCAAGCAGACATCACGTATATCTTGAGACGTTCGCCGCGAAGGGTGAACCCGATCGCATGTTCGCGAATCGGCGTCGCGAGGAGTGCCGACAACCGTCGGAACAACTGGCTCTCGGCGTTAGAGTTGCCGGCTTTGGTCTCGCCGACGGCGGCCACTTGCGTAAAGGAGCGTTTGGCCTGGTTCAGGTCCACCTTGTCCTTGGCCTTGTCCTTGGCCTTGGCCTTGTTCGTGCTGTCTTCTTCTGCGTTGTTGTCCTCGTTGTGATGCTGGCCCTTGCCGTTTTCGTTCGCGTTGAAATTCACGTTGGTGTCGGGGCCCGCATCGGCGTCGGGTTTCTTGGCTTGCGGATCGGCGTGACTGGGAAGGGCCCATACATTCGGGAGGGTTGGATCGTGCGCGACCGCAGCGTGGGTCAACAGCACAACATCGGCCGTCTTCTCGGTCGTCTCCACGCGGTCACGTGCGACGCTGATGTAATAGGGTGAGTTGCTGCAGGCGACCAATCGCCGGTCTCCAGTCTAGAGGTCCAACAGTAAGACAAACGGCAATGGGAAGGCGAGTCAGCTCTCGAAGGAATTATTCACACACCATCGAGTAGGCCAGGCGTCGACTTACCTTGTTGATGACACCTGCTATGACCTCGCCCAGCGCTTCTTCGGTGCCAATCTTGGAGTCCTTGGGCCAGATCTTGTTGGCGAGCTCCTCAGCGGTCGGATGGCCGAAGAAGTAGGCCTCGAGGGCCGGACAGTGTTTCTGGTGCATCTGCACCGCCTTGGAAATCCTCTCGGCTCTGTCCGATGCTCGCTCGTTCGAGGCCGGCTGCCGGCGCGGTCGTAATGGGGTCGAGTTGCTCGACGATACCAAGGGAGGTAGTACGTCCCTCACCTCGGCAAGGTCGTACGCGTTGGGGGTTGCGTTTGACCTTGACCTTGAGCTCGAGGTCGAGGTCGAGGTCGAGGTCGAGGCAAGAGCCTGAGCGGGCGAGTCGGCGCCGTGTGCCACGCGCGTCGCGTTCTTTTCAGCGAGGCGCGCGCTCGTCCGAACTTGCTCAGTATATAGCTATCATAGGTGGGGTACAGCCCAAGTCTGGATACGTTTTGGAATAGAACCCCAAATCCTCAGTGAAAATGAAAAGTGGCAGTGCACGGGGAATTGCTCGTGCACTGCCGAAATCCACTTTTGCGACACTCGAAGCCGACCCCGGGTCAAAACCGTCAAATCGCAGTGCACGGGGAATTGCTCGTGCACTGCTGAAATCCGGTTGCTCGAGGATGGAAGGCGACACACCGAGTAACCCTGCCAAGCCCAGAGCGCTGAACCGAGATCGGATCCGAAACGAGATTCCCATTCGGAAATCGTCGGAGATCGTCGGGCTGGCGGCGTGGCGTGGGGCGGTAGACTTGCAGTGCTTTGGGTGCAGGTCAGATGGAGGCGGTCTCTTCTTGCCGGCTCTGTAGAAGAAATGTCTCGCCCACTCGTCTATACTACATAAGCCGCTCAGCAACACTTCGAAACTCGACCAAACTCGCACCCGGGCTGTAGCACGGTTTTAATGGTCCAGAAAATGCAGAAATGTTCGCACATGACATCTAATCGGAACAACGTTGATACGACAGGCCGCTGCGGCAGACTCAAAAGTATTCTGGTACATCCACTACAGGGCCGCAATGCAGCCAAAAACATCGGTTTTAGGTACATGGGTTGCGGGTCGACGGGTTCAGCTTTGGGACTTCGCGCGCTTGGTGAGCTGATTGGCTTGACTTCACGGTCGCGCGCACCAACGCTCCTTTTCCTCTCCCCACTCACTCGCACCACTCGCACCACTTGGCCCGACTCGGCTCTGATCCCACTACACCATAACGTTATCCCTATATATATGGGCAATTCCCACATACCACATACCACAGACTCCCGAGAGACCCTTGCAAAGAAGCTCGCACGAGCACCCTGTGCCATTTGACAAGCCAGCGCCTAGCCTGCAAAGAAGCTCGTGCGAGCTTCTTGTGCTATGTGATATCCGCGCGCGCAGCGTGTCAGATACCACAGACTCCTGCGCCTGCCTTGCAAAGAAGCTCGCGCGAGCATCTTGTGCTATGTGATATCCGCGCCCAGCCTGTCAGATACGACAGACTCCCTACCACAGACTCCCGCGCCTCGCTTGCAAAGAAATACCACATGCCACAGACTCCTGCGAGGCGCTTGAAAAGAAGCTCGCGCGAGCATCCTGTGGTATTGGAGAGAGGGGTGGGGGCAGCGGCACTCTCCGCCTTCGGCCACCGGCGCTCGCGATCTCCGAAATGGGTTTCCCATTTCGGGCTTCGGGTATCGCTGGAGCTGAGGCACCACAGACTTGAGGACTTGTAGACGTAGATAAGTTTATTGTGAATCTGTCCCGATCCCAACTGGTGTGTACATGCTTAATCTGTGCTAATATGGCATTGTGCTTTGAGTATATTCAATTACACTAGTTGTTGTGGCCTTGAAGACTTTGGCGCGCGCGGTCCACTGCCCCTAGTCCTTGGGCCAGAACAAATGTTCAGACATGTCCGTCCACTTGATTTTAGGTACACATCTAGATCCGAACAATTATATGAGTAGAATCACTTTGAATCTGCAAGGAGAACATGATAGCATGTGTATTTTAGTACTTATGATGATTCGAAATTGCCATGTCCGTACCGCAGATCTCGTGTCCGTACCGTAACCCATGTCCGTCCACTTGTCGGTCGCGGTTGCGGACACGGCGGTCTGCGGGACGGACATGTCCGTCCCTTGATTTTAGGTCCATAATATCAGATAAAACTGATGCTGTTGAACAATTATATGAGTAGAATTACTTTGAATCTGCAAGGAGAACATGATAGCATGTGTATTTTAGTACTCATGATGATTCGAAATTATCATGTCTGTACCGCAGATCTCGTGTCTGTACTGCAACCCCACTGCATGTATAGGCTTGACTTCACGTTCGCGCGCGCCAACGCTCCTTTCCCTCTCCCCACTCACTCGCACCACTCGCACCACTTGACACGACTCGGACTCGGCACGGATCGCACCACGCCACAGCTCGACGTCACATGCTTTCACATCGCTCGCATGCGCCATTCAATCAGCAAGATGCAACTCGATTTCTCTCAACTACAGCTCGACGTGTCACCTCAAGCCGACTGAGGTGGGCACGGTGCGACGTCGCACGACATGAATATCAACGACTCCAACATCGTCATCTTCAGCAAGATACGCTGAACAGGTTGATCTGAAAGGGCGTGGTCACTTTCAGCAGCGTGCTAGCCTTGCGTCGATGCATCGCTCGAGTGTCCTGGGTCGCACACGTGCTCGGTCATTGCACCGGCTCGAT